TGTCTCATTTTATCTTCTGTGATGGTTATGCTGCAAAATAATTACGTTTAGACTGGAGTTTTTTAGTATGTGAAGTCAGTTGCAGAAACCAGTATTTGGGAACAGAATTTGGATAAGTAATGTGTTAACCAAAGATCTACCTTTAAAAAATAGGAATTTGTAACTCTGTTCCCAAAAACTACAAAATTCTTCAGATATAAAGTAGGGTTTCTCCACCTACATTACACCAGATAACTCCTGGCTGTGGTGGGCTGTACATGCACCGTTACACGATGCTTGGCAGCATTCTTGGCCTCTTACCCACTAGATGCCAGTAGCAGCCCTCAACTGTGACAATTAAATGTATCTCCAGTGACTGACAAATGTTGTGGGGGTGGGTGAAGGGAAATGTGGGGGTGTTAAAACCACCCTGGTTGAGGACCACTGAGATAAACAATGGAATTAGCATTTTCTCACAAGGGCTATTTAAATAAGATATGAAAGATGATATAAACTATCATTCTTTGCACTCTAAGCATGAGTCATTTTTAGATCAGATGACCTTTTGAAGTTTTATCTGGGTGAAAAAAAAAAAGATGATAACCAGTGCACTTAAAGGTAATCCATAATCTAGAAAGAAGAAATGAACTAAAGAGCAATGCATTAAGGTTAAAAAAATGAGCGCAGGTAGCCTTACTACCATCTACTAGATACAGTAACTTTTAGAAGTCTTCAGCTATTTTGAAATCTTCCATTTCACTGCTACAAAGTTGGGTTCTTAATTTTTCTTCCTATTCTTATCTGAAAAAATCATTTCCTATAGCATAGAAGGCAAGAATACTACCACCACAGATATTTGTTGGGTATTTTTATAACTGTAGGGATTTTACTTATTTAAATTAAGCAGATCTCCTAAAGCTCTTTAAGGAAAGAACAGAAAACAGACTCAAAAATACTAAATAAAATGTCTGGAGCCACAAAGGAAGCTGGGGATTCCTGAAGTTTACTTAAGACTCATCATCATCACTTCCCAAAAGGCCCAGATTTCACTCGTAAATAGTTCTGTTTAGAAAAAGGCCAGATTTGCATTAATCTTAAAATACTGCGACCTCAGCAGTTAGTAGCATAATCCTAAACCTATAGAAAACATGTAGCACTTTTTTACAAAAAGTTATGGTTTTAATTACAATAGAAACATATGGTCATTGTAGAGAATCTAAAACACTTATTTTTAAAAAGACTGATTTGAATAATGATGTGGGTGGGGGTGGGGGTATAGCTCAGTGGTAGAGCAAGCGCTTAGCATCAATAGGTTCCTGGGTTCAATCCCCAGTACCTCTGTTAAAATAAATAAATAAATAAACCAAATTACCTCCCCCAAAATAAAAAAAAATTTTAATACTGATGTCTATGATGTAACAATGAGGTACAGAAAAACAAATGCAAAGGTAAAGATTAGCCAGTTGTTCAAGCAATGAAAAAGTAATCGATGGGTTAATATACTCAGACACTTCAGTTCTAAAGTCATGGATGGGTCTCTTTAGAATCTGCCCATCAATTCTGAGAATAAATAATGGTTTCATAATAATTCTATTAGGCTAGTAGGATCTGTGCCACCAGTGCTGGATAAAAGGACAAGAACCGGGTGTGTTTTGAATGGGCTTGGTATTTCAGAGGAAACCAGTACGCATATCAGAAACTGCGTTTCCCAGAGAAAAAATGGGATAATCTTCTCAGAAGCAGAAACTAAAGAAAAAGTCACCTGTAATCTACTGTTTTGGTTTCATCATTTTTCAGTTTGGACCAAAGAGGTAAACAGTCCTTAATGGACAACTCTTGCCATGGGCTCTGAAGCTTCTCAGCCTCCCATCCCCATGCCATCTCAGTTAGGTTCTAAAGAGGTCTTTTCAAAATCAGATATGAAAGTGCTCATTCCAGTAAGTACAGGCCTCTCTCCAGCACTGAACAGTGCAAGCTAAACTACCTGTTCTAGGAGCAACTGCACCTACTCCAGAGAGAAAGGAATAAAAACAGTGACTATTCCCATGTCCAGGAAGGGCAATCATGGATCCGTTGCGTGGAGGTGTAGACAGGGAAATGTGATAGTGGTTGATTTGGAAAAAGAAAGTACCCTCAATTGTCTGACATATCAAGGCAGGATCATAAAATAGATGTGAAATGGCTGAAACTGCACTGGACATTTAAGTATCTGAAAAAATAACCAGAGTTAAGGACTATGACATCTTATCTCGGCACTGCAGTGGACCAGCCATCCTGTGACAAAAACGGTCTTAATATTTAGAAAAAGTTTGAATATCCCAACAGTACTCTGTCTTTTCCAAGACAATAAAGGTATACAAGTCAGAAAATGAGACTCAAGTGTACTGACCTATAATGAGTTTTAACTTTTCCCTCTGTAAAACAGTTCACCTTCTTTCTAGAGGGTCTGTCTTACTTTTCAATTCACTAGTAAGTACTACAGGTCAGGTTCCTTGGAGAAAACTTCGAGGTCCCTTAACACCTCTAAAGCCCAAGACTCTTCATATGCTCAGAAATTTTAATAGAGTAAAATTCTCACATCCAAATGAGATTTTACCTAATTGCTGATTACAGTATCTTTAGTTACTGACAATAATGAAAAGAATGAGAATTCTTCACCTATCCCTCCTCTCTTTCCCCTCTCTGGAAAGCCTCAGCTTAACAGTATGAATCATTTGGTGTTTGACGTACGGTTATTTCCGGGGGGACAGATGACATTTAGCACAGGACATGAGGCTGTGGGAAAAGGGAAGTTCTTGGCCACAAGAACCAGGACAAAAATCCCTGCCCTCGGGAAAAATGCCAAAAGTCTCTGAAGTCCACTGTAAGGCAGTTAAATTTTTAACTTCAGAAGATCCTTTTATAAGAACATAAACCATCACACAGATTTGGTTTTTGAAAACTACACTATGAAGTTGCAAGATAACTATTTTCTGGTATTTATAAGAATCCATTCTAAGTGATGGTCCTCTGAGTGAATATGAATATTTTTCCCATTGGGAATGGTTTAACATAAGATGGCTCTAAAATCTTTCACTATTCAAAGACAAAGAATATCATGATAATGGCTAACTTAACTGAGTGTTTACTATGTAAGCATCAGGTTAAGTGCTTTGCATGCATTAGCTTATTAATCCTTACAACAATGCAATAAGCTATAAACAACATGAACTCTAAAACAGGAATTTCTTTGGAGGCTTTGAAAATAAGTATTAGTAGATTATTTGTCATAAAAACCTTAAAGGAACTCACGAATTATTTTTAATGTGATATAAAAGGCTATAATTCCTTAGATATTCTGTCAAATATCCTTATATTCCCAGTTAAAAAAATTTTTTTTATGGTTTATTACAAAGAGGGCGTTCTCACAACTTATCCCAAATAGATGTAACTCAAGCAGCCCCACTTAACTTTCTGTAGGTTCACAGACAGAACAGATGAGTAAGACAACCTTAACTATCCCTGGTGGTCAAGTTAATTACATTTAGCAAATTCAATAAAATTACCAACTGCAGGTCAAGTTACAAAGGTGAGCATATGCTTTGGAAAAGTAAAATGAAGACAATTAATAACATACTAAGAATGAGGATTAGTACTGAAACGCAGAAATTACCCTTCACACTGCCAAACTTACAACTTTAGCAGCCATTAAGAGAGGCTTTTGATTGGCACCTCTTGGAGAGGGATGGAAATGTGAGCTATCTTGAGTGTGGCAGTGGTTTCACAGGTGTACACATCTATCAAAAGTCATCAGATTGTACATCTAAAATATGTGTAGTTCACTATACAGGATTTAAACCATGATAAAGGTGTTAAAAAATAAAAAATAAAAGCTCCTTAATTAAAAAAAAAGAAAGACTTTTATATCCACACATGAATGTATCAAAAAAGGAATGTATTCCTGACACAAAAACACCCTGGTTTTTAGTTTGGGGAGATAATATTCTTCATATTTGGCTCTAAGAATATTTATTTCTCTTACACAAGAGACATATATACATAAAAAATAAATTTTATTGTGATCACACCTCAAAATGGAGAGTTGCCAACTCTGTTTTTTTTTTGGCAATTTTTTAATTAAAAAAAAGGAAACATTAGAAAGTACAATTTCCTTAACCCAGTACACTCACTTCTAATAATGTAGCCAATAAAAAAAAAAAAAAAGAACAAGTGTTCAAAGATGTTTGTATAAGGATGTTGGGAGACCGAATTTGACAGACAATGGGTTCGAACTGAATTTGCTGGCTGCATGGGAGCTTGGGTTGGTTACTTAACCTCTCTCCCAGCCTCTGTTTCCTCTTTTGTAAAATGAGAATGTAAATGAGAGGCTACATTATTAGGTTATTACGAATATTAAATGTTATGTAAAGAGCCTGAACTATAACTATTGTAGTGTTACGTTTATCTCAGTTAACCTCAGATTGAAAAACAACCTGAAAAACTCCATGAAGTTGTTGGTGGGGTGGAGGTGGGGAATTATAAATGGTAGGAAGGATGAACTGGGCAACCTCTCCACAACCGCCCCCTCTTTCCCCATTTCATCTTCTAAATATTTCTTGCTCCTATTCTTTTTTTTTTCATCACCCTGTTTGTTTGTTGTTTTTGTTTTTTATTGACGTATAGTCAATTTACAATGTTATGTCAATTTCTGGTATACAGTATAATAGTTCAGTCATACATATACATGCATAAATTCGTTTTCATATTATTTTTCATTATAGGTTATTACAAGACATTGAATATAGTTCCCTGTGCTATACAGTATAAAATTGTTGTTTATCTATTTTACATATACTAGTTAGTATCTGCAAATCTCAAACTCCCAAAGTATCCCTTCCTACCCTCTTCCCATCCTAGTAACCATAAGTTTGTTTTTATGTCTGTGAGTCTATTTCTGTTCTGTAAATAAGTTCATTTGTCTTTTATTTAGATTCCACATATAAGTGATGTCACATGGTATTTTCTTTTTCTTTCTGGCTTACTTCACTTAGAATGATGATGTCCAGGTCCATCCACATTGCTGCAAATGGCATTATTTTATTATTTTTTATGGCTGAGTAGTAGTCCATTGTATAAATATACCACAGCTTCTTTACCCAGTCTTGTTCCTATTCTTAATAGAAAATGCATCGGCATGATTGAAAAATCAAAACAATGTTAAAAGTATGTACTGAGAAACCTCTCTTCAACCCTCTTCGCATCCACTCCTTCTTCCTTGCACACTGCAGGTAACCGTTGTAATTAGTTTCTTGCTTGGCAAATATGAATATACAGTCTTACTCCTCTCATTTCTTATGCATAAAGTTGCATACTATATAAACCTATATCTTACTTTCCTTCACTTAACAACATAACCTGCCGATCTTTCTAAATCAAGTCAGTAAACAGAGATCATTCTCATTCTTTTTTCAGCTGTGTAGTACTCCTTTGCATGGATACACACTATTAACCAGCCTCTTCTAGCAGGATACTGTGTTTCTACTCTTTTGCTATTGTAAACAATGCTGCAATGTACATATGCCATTCCATATGTGAGCAGGTATATCTGTAGGATACATCAAATTTTAGTAGAAATGGCCTCCATCCATTTCAATGAAAGAAAAAGGATATTAAAAAATTTAAAGCCTTTTAAAGGCATTGTGTACACATACTTTTTTATTGTGATAAAACATACACATTACCATTTTAACCATTTTTTAAGTGTACAGTTCAGTGGCACTAAGTACATTTAAATTATTGTGCAACCATCACCACTATCCATCTCCAGAACTTTCTCATCTTTCCACAGCCAACTCTAGCGTAAGGAACAAATTTTTTCCAAGAGTAATTTCATCACAGTTTCTTGCACAGACTGTACAATATGTTTCTGCTGGCAATAAACAGGTCTGAGTAAAGGTTTTCCAAATTTTTTCCTGTCTGTATTTTTAAAACTATATTTTAAGAAGCATCATCAAAACCAAACACATATATCGATAACAAAACCCACACAAGTAGCTATTATATATCCATGTAGGCATCTTAGTAAGCTGGCTAATTGCTTCATGAGAAGTAATGTATTTAGTATAATAGGGGGAACATTTGCAGTGGAGGCAGAATAACCTAGACCTGGGTGGAAATCATGGCTCCATCAACTGCTAGCTGTGTGAAGTTGGGCAATTTCCTTTTCTCAGTCTGAGTTTTCTCATTTGCAAAATGAGGTAATAATTCCAATCTTATGAGAATTAACTGTATGTGAAATGCCCAACACAGAGCCTGACTCAAAGCAGGAACACAGGAAATAGTTACTGTTATTACTCCGTTGTTATTCATGTAAACTCCTTAAAGGCAAAGCATACTTTTTCTTGTAACTCAATTTTAAGCTCTATACTGAGAAATGAAAAAATAAAAGAAGAAACATTAAAGTTACAAATGAGAAGTTGGTATATCAGTTCAACACATGCCTAGATAGGAAATGAAACTATGAAGCAATAATGATGACCTTCAAAACATGTATCAAAATGAACAATGTCCTTATTTTTATAAGCCACTCTGAAAAGAGATGATGCTGTCTGTGTACAAATCGCAGGGAACAACTCTTCATTCCACAAGTATTTCCTGAATGTCCATTCAGTGCCAGTCATATGCTAGGCAATGTGCGTGATCATTAGCAAAAGCAGACACAGTTCCAACCCTCAAGGAGCTGCCAGTCATGCAATCGTACAGTGTGATAAGTGATGCAAAGGGTGGTACATGGTACTCTTGAGAGCCAGTAACAGATCTAACCTAATTGGAGAGATCAAGGAAGGCCTTTCAGAGGAAGTAAAAGCTGAGAACTGAATGATGAAGAGGAAGTTTAGAGTGGAGGGTGGTCCCCAGGACAGAGGAAAGCAATTTGTGCAAAGACCCTGCAGCAGGAAGAAACAGGCAAGAATGCAGGACCAAAAGACCAGTGTACTTGGAGCAAAGATGAAGTGAGAAAATTAGCTAGGATTCTAAACCACACAAGGGCTGAGGTTTTGTAGACCAAATTCAAGAGTTGTAACAATCCGGAGAACAGTGAAAAGCCACTGAGGCTTTGGCTCAGCCAAATGACTGCTTATTTTGGGGACAGGTAGGCTAAAAGGAAAATGCAGTCAAATTTGCAATTGGCCTTTGGTTTCTGGAACGAGACCTAACGAATGTAGATGGATCAGGTAGGAAACAAAACTTCTGTCAGGATACGACAGTATCTTGGACTAGGGTGATGGGGTGATGTGGTGGTGGTGGTGGTGGTGGTGGTGGTGGTGGTGGTGGTGGTAAAATCAATGAAATCAAGAGACACTCAGGAAAACCTGATGATGTGTGATCTACAGGTGCTGAGGGAGAGCAAAGTATCCAAGAAAACTTCATGGTTTATGATCTGTATGACTGGACAGAAGGAGATACCATTTGGGAGGGATCTGCTCCAGAAACATCTTTAAGGCAGTTTACACACCCACAAAAGGGCCTGAAACTGTGTTATCCAGTTTGATCCCCTACTTTACCTATACAATGGGGTTCCAAAAGATTATTTTGCTATTTCTAAAAATCAAATTGACTCTCAAACGTACATTTTTCCAACACTGAAGATATTTCAAAGATTCTGCCACATTTTTTTTTTTTTTGCCACAAGCTTTGAAGTCAACTCCAAATGAGTTCTAAAATTGGTTTGAGCAATGTGGCAGCATTATGGAATGAATGTGTCATTTCCCATGATGACTACTTTGATAAGACTAGTATGCATTTGCTGCTGTTCGATTTAAATATTTTAAATAAATCTTAAAAGAGTATTCTCATGTGATATTAAACACAAATACAAAATTTCATCAGGCATTACCATAATTGGAATTATGTTTTTATGTTTCTGTTTCAATGTTTTGAAATGCCTGTAGAAAACTTGATATTTTGTAGGAAAAGATATGTTAAAAAAAAACCCACAAAACTTCTTGATATTCCTATATTTATTTTATTTCCACCCAGTCCTTGTTAACTCCCATCACATTCATTCAATGTAAAAGATTTTTACTAAACAGTTGTATATATGCATACAGTATATACAAAGCTAATAATTTATCAATACTATGAATATTTTAATATTTACTTTTCTCAGTTTTAATTTTTAAATTCGCAACCAAATGCCATTTCATAGTCGAATACTGATGCTTTCAAGTCTTAGAAACATAAAAGCTTCAAATGTGACTAGCCCAAAGAAAAGTGAAAAAGTCATGCCCCCTTAAAATCAACCTAACACATCATACCTTAGTGCTGAAGTAGCATTTCCCTAATTTTGGCAGCGTGGGCTCTTTGGCCACCTGCTTGCACTAGGCCCCGAATAGCATTTTATTAACATTAAATTGCAGTTACCAGGATGTTACCACTGCTTGTACAGAGCAGCAGAATTCTTTTTCCCCATGCCAATATTATCTCTAGGCGTCAAAAAGACAAGACTGTGATCAGAAGCCAAATATGAAAAGTGTCAGCTCCACAAATGAGAAAAGTCAAGGGCTTTTTAAAAATCAGGTCTTAAACAACCCCATTAACTAATACTACTTTATAAAACCAGATTGTCTCCACACTAGAAACTACTACCAAACGTGGTCCTTACAAGGGCTGGCAGCTTGAAATGGGTTACCAGCATGGTTCATCTTTTTCTTATTTTAGGCTTAAAAAAAAAAAATGCAATCAGACCATGGCCCATGGCTATATCTGAGTATGGGTATTGGGCAGTGCTAAGGAAGAAACAGCGAAAAGACTTTAGGGTTCCAATCTCAGCTAGCGGACTTTCCTACTATCCTCAGGAGTGGTCCTTGTCTCCCCAGCGGAAATGTGGGCGAGGGAAAGTTATAAAGGCCCTGGGCTCTTCCTTTACCCAAGCCCCCAAAATGACACCGCAAACCACTTCCTTCTGGGAACTGAAAGTCATAAGCTTTAAGGGACAATGGAGCTCAATGTAGGCTTCAGAAAGATGGAGACAGTGAGATGAGATGAGAGAGGGAAGTGGGGGTGAGGGGATGCGCCCAGCCGGAGAGAGCTAACAGGGAGGTCAAGGCCAGGGACTCTGGGAGCCTGAGAAGGTCTGGGTCTTACAGAATCTGTCCAAATAGGCCAAAGCCCTCTGAGAAGCCCGAGGGGCGCGTCTGAAAATCTAGGGCACCTATGGACACAGTGCCTTCGCTCTCCTGGGGAGGGGAGACAGTCCCCGCAGGAACCCTGCCCCCAAAGTGGCGCTTTTCCTGCCCTTAGAAAACCACAAACCCTCACGGAATGAAGCAAAACATGTATGGGGTGGTAGGCAAAGTAGGTGTTCTGCAAACGTCGGGGTCGGGGACAGTTGGCAGAGGTAAAGGGAGGCCCCTAGTTCGAGAAACTTTAATCGCCCCGGAACAGGGGGAGCAGGCAATATGCCGCCCCTAAGCAGCAAGCAGAAGAGGCCCGGAGCGGCGGCCAGCGGCGCCCCGCGTTCCTGGGGACTGCGGCCTGGGGCGCGGCCGCC